CCCCATTCCAACAATTTGAATTACCACTCTCATTTGTCTTTGCTTGCCAACAAAGGGAAGGAAAGGCTGTTCTTGGAGGTAGCTCGTGTACTTCGTAAGAAGGTGTATGTTGGGTCAGCAAAGTTACGCCTTCTTGAATGCTTGGGACTTCCWGAGGAAGACATGCAGTGGTTTACTGTAAATGAACAGGAGAGTCACATACATGTCGTGCCAATGTGGACAATTGCAAGCTTCAAGCGAATGAAACATATATGCAATCAATACTTGGTGAGGCATGCACGTTCTTTATTTCATACTTCAAACAAAGATGTTAAATATGATAGGGCCCTTTTGATAACAAGGAAAATTGTCTTCTTTTTAATAAATGGTAAATTCCATTTAGTCAAAAAGAGGGAGAAGTTCCCCTAGATACAGGAAAAAGAAAGCAGAAGCAAAGGAGAAAACAAGACACAAAGGTAAGAAAAGAAAACTAAAAAGCAACATTAAACCACTACACCCCCATAGAACAATAAAAAAACGATACAGTCCTATTGCCTCTTAAACTGATCCTCTTTGAGACCCTCAAACACCTCGAGGGAAGTTGTCCATTGCATGAGGTTGTCTTCTCTAGCCCCCTGCTGAAGAATGCTTCCCTTCAACCATTTTGGAGCTTCCCTTCAACTGATGCCATTCTATCAGAATCTACCCCACTTCCTGAGCCAACAGCAGATGAAAAAGAATCATACCATTGGGCATCTTTCTTGCTTTCAGTGCAACCACCATACCATATTGCATGCACAAGTTTGCTTGATTTCTTCTAGGTGGAAAGGAGATATGCCTTAACTACGGGGCATTATTTCCAGTGATTTTTCCTCTCGACATCCCCCACCCCAATCAGACACTGTGTAGGTGGTCATCCTCCTGGCTGCTACATTAAGCCTCCCCCTCCCCTTCTTTCCATTTATGTTTTATTTTTATTTATTTATTTACTTACTTTAAATTCTTTAGATCCTTTTTTATTTTATTTAATTCACATATATGCTGCTCATATCAGGGTAGGTTCAATCTTATTGTTGCATTCTCTCCTACTGGTTGGACATATGGTAAAGGAAAGAAGAAAACTCCAGGGAGAAGGTGGCAGCAGGGTACCATTATCAGGTGATGCTCTTAGTTTATCTTATTTCCTTCAGTCTAAGGTTGAATCTGTTAGAATGCCAAGGTTTCTTTAATAGTCAACATTTTACTAATTTACTTGTCTTTCAGGTGCATGTGCACTCCCATTTTTTCCTAGTACTGTATGTTATGAGAGTCCCGATCACCTGCCCACGAGAACTCTGTCCACACCTACCCACAATACACTATCCCTCGTGAATTGGGAACATCTCCCCCTGCATAATACTATGCAGAGGATGAGATGTTCTCCATGTGTGGCTCCAATAAACGTGGGCAGAGTTCTCGTGGGCAGGAGATCCGGACTCATGTTATGAGGGCAAACATATGCATTTATCTATGTTTACATACCTGAGAGTCGATTGAACTTGTGGTCTGCTGTCACCCTTGTTCTTATAACATAAAATTGTTTATCCATGATATCGATATTGTTAGAGTTAGCCAAATGAGGGGTAGATTAGTCTTTTCAGTTAGTTTAAGTTATGTGCTTATGTGGCAGTTCTAATTAGACTTCCTGTCCCATACTTAAGTGGGGGTAGTTTAGTCACTGTACTTAATTAAAACCCCTAATCCATATTATGGTCGACTGGTGGGGTTTAGGCTACCAAGTTCGACTGATTTGTTTTCTTCTTCTTCTGCTCTTTCTCCTTCACTCTCTTCTAGTTCGAACTGTTGAAGCTATTGAACAAACATGGTATCAGAGTAGGACATTGCTCTCTAAGTCTGCTTCTCTCTTATCGTGACTCTTCTTTTTTTTTTCTGGACCGAAAATGGAGAATACAGACTCGACCTAGTCCTGTGAACACTTCGGTCTTTCTTCCTCTTCTCAGAACTTGATTGTTTTTCAAGAAAATAACTTCAGAATTAAGTGGATGGTCGACTGAAGCTCTCCATCGAGGTTGGTTACTTTTTATTTTTTTTTCTGTGTTGTTGGTATTTCTAGGTTGAAAACCTTCAAAATTTGCTCAGACTGATCAGAATCTAAAAAACTAGGTTGTTTGTAGCCTTGGTTCTTGGCAAAAAAGTCCAAGGACAGGTTGTGTTTATAGTGACCGAATGGTGTAAGGGTATGTTTGACCCTTTTGTGTGGATTTGTAGATTCAAATCTGTAAGGTTTTGAAACCTTTGTTGGTCATGAGTGACCTGAATCAACTGACAGAGTACTACAGTGGTAGTAGTTGATGGTTTTGGACTTGTATTGCCCTTTGAAAAGGTCAGATAGACCTGTACCATGTGTGACAACTATGGTCGTGTGGTGGTGCTTGTGATGTTCACCCTCTATTGAGCAGTTTCAAGAGGGCTCGTATGTAGTTAGTTGAGTTGCCGAGTTACTGTCATTGTGATTTATGGTTCTGTGTAATCAGTAGTGGTGTGAACAAGAACAAAAGTCCGTGTTTTAATGCTGGAAGGAGTGGCCGAATTGTCTACATCAATTTTCTGCCTTGTTATTGTTGTCTGAATGCTAGTTTACCTTTTGTTCTTTAATCTGAAATGGTCGCCGAACTTGTATGAAACATCAAGCTCTTAATCTGAATGGTAGTTTACATCAGTGGTGATTGATTGTGAACCTATTATCTGTGTTTGGAGACTGCTGTAGTGTTTGAAACATCAAACTCCTGATAGTAGTACTCGGTTGGTGACTGGGGATTCAGCATCAGAAGTAGCATTGGGAGGGCATCATGGCAGCAACTGGAGATGGTTGTAGTGATCAGAAACCTAGTGTGATGATTCCCTCTAACTATCTAGGTGTGCAGATGACTTCAATTAAACTTAATGGTGAGAATTATGCGCCATGGGCCAAGTCAGTGGAACTTGTTCTCAAGGCAAAGAGGAAAGTGAAGCATGTGAAGGAAGATAAACCATCAATTGACTCTCCAGGGTTTGATGACTGGGAACAGGAAGATGCCCAAATCATGACATGGTTATGGAGTAGTATGGAATAGGGTTGTTCATGGGTTGGGTTGGGTCGGTTTATTGGCATTTTTCCAACCGACCCGACCTGGTCGGTTTACCTAGAAATGAAACCGAAACTGACCTACTACTAAGTAAAACCGACCTGGTCGGTTTGAGTCGTTTCGGGTCGGTTTTGTGAATGATTTGATGGATGCCTGGAAATTAAAAATGATTTGATGGATTAAAGCTGAAATTTTATATATCAGAAATTTTATATATAATATGTATATTTCCAAAATAAAGCTGAAATATATATATTTCCACAAATATATATCTGAAATATATATATATATATATATATCTAAGTCGGTTCGGGTCGGTTTGGTTTCAGTTTTCACACATGAAAATCGAAACCGAACTGAACCATCGGTTTGTGTTTTTTTGTAACCCGAAATCGACTGGTGTTGAAGAAAAATCAGCCAACTTGGGTTGGATCGGACTAGATTGGTCGGTTTAGTTGGTTTGGGTCTTGTTATGAACAACCCTAGTATGGAACCTAAAATAAGTACCAACTTTATGTTCTTAGATACAGGTAAGGACATATGGGAACATGCCAAGAAGCTTTGTTTTGGGCAGGATAATACTACGAGGGTATATCAGCTCTATCAGGAGTATTTTGATTTGCAACAAGGGAATAAAACCCTAGAAGAGTACTATGCCAGTATGAGAAACCTCAGAAATGAATTCAATGTCTATCATCCCTTAACTCTGGATGTTAAGGTTCAGCAACAATAGAGGGAGCAATTGGATGTCACTAGGTTCTTAGTGGGGCTAAAATCAGAGTATAAACTAGTGAGGGCCCAAATGTTGGGAGGCTCTACTCTTCCTACACTTGAGGAAGTATTTGCAAGGCTTCGCAGGATCTCTTTCGGTTCTACAGAGAGTACCACACTGTCTGACAGATTAGGATTTGTGGTAGCCAGAGGAGGTGGATGTGGTACTAGAGGGGGAGGACATTGATCTCGAGGAGGTCGTGACTTAGGGGAAGGACATTCGATGAATTTTTGTTATGATCTCCATGGCCCACCGCCCACCTTCTACATGGGCTAATTATGTAGTAGCTGGTGGGGTTGATTTCAATGATAACCAACAACCAGATCTCACACCTTCCACATCTACATATGTTTTCAAGGAGGAGATGATGAGTATACTGCGCGATGAGTATGAGAGGTTCCTTCAGGCTAGTTCACAACATAATACAACCACCTTTGCTCACTCAGGTATAGCTTGTCTGGCATCCAAACCCTTTCCCTGGATTATTGACTCTGGAGCTTTTGATCACATGATTGGGACTCCAGGTGTGTTCTCTTCCCTCTTTGAAACTTTCACATCTCAAACTATTACCCTTGCCAACGGTTCCTCTTCTCCCATCAGTGGTGTTGGTAATGTTGACACGACTTATCTTTCATTATCATATGTTCTATCCTACTACCACCTTGGAATCTCCTTCAATTATTAAGTTTTGCACTCCAAGTTGATAAGCAATCTGTACCCCCTATGCCGCAGCTAGGAGTTCAGCCCTCACAGAGTCTCCTATTACCACCGGTCCCAAGAAAGGGCAATGATGTTGGTGTTTCATTTCTCAGTACACCACCAATCCCAAAGGGTCCTGGGTTACCCTGACTATTTCTGTCAAAGTTCAGCTTAACAAAACCCTCTACCGGCRGAGTCCAAGTTACTTGAACTCTAGGCTTCCTAGAGGAAGTGAGGGCAATTGCAGACCAATTCCTCATTAAATCCTCAAAGGAGTAATCGTCAAAGAGCTTTAAGGATTTCACCACAAAATAATCCTTGTAAAAATACATTCTTTGACCTCAAAAATGCTTCTTTCCTTCTCCTAAAAAATTCTGGAATTTCTCTATTCCCAAATAGTCCAAAGGAGAGCTGCTCTTATACACTTCAACATAATTCTCCCTCTTCCTGTGGTCCACACAAAGGTAGATGGGGAAAACAACAAATTTATCTCAGTTGGCAAGTTCCACCTGCACTCGAACAAATCAAATACCCAATTCCAACCACTCACATACATTAAAATTAGTAATTCATCCTTATACATTGCCAATCACTCACAAAAAGAGTGTTGACCCCAATCAAACTAGAAAGTTACAATACAGCCCAGAAAAAGTTCTCCCTGAAGGCCCCCTGTTTTGCCAAACCATCAACCACAGAGTTGGCTGATCTCCTTACCCATTTGAAGATTATCCCAACCTCCCTTGCTAAGCACAGTATTTCCCTTATCTATTGTCTTAAAGTCTATATACCCAGATTTTTTGTCTACAGCCATCCTATCAATAGTTTAGAATCTCCCTCCACCTCAAAGTTCTGAAATCCCCATTGGTTAGCCAATCTCAAGACCTGTAGTAGAGCCATAATTTCAGTTCTAAGAGAGTCTCCCATACCTATGTGACCAGAATATAGTGCCATTAGTCTGCCCTCCCCATCCTTGAAGACTCCCCCAACTCCAGAGGGTCCTGGATTACCCAAGGAATATCCATCGAAGTTTAATTTTACCCTTTGTTGTGCTGCAGGAGTCCAATAATTTGAAACACAGACTATCTAGTTGAAAAGTTTGCCACTGCTGACCACCCCCTTAGTATATCATCCACTCAAAAGTCTTTGAACAAGTCAATAACTTTCAGCTAGTGTATAGTTTTAATGGCTATACAATCAATGACTTATTCTTTTGATCTTTCTACCCCTTGGAAGATTCTATTATTCCTTTCCTCCCATATAGACCAAAGGATGGCTGCTCTTGTTGCCCTTCACTTCACTTTACCCCTTTTCTTTGATAGTGAGAAGAAACTTGGGTAAAAAATGCTTACCACATCCGGAGGAGGGGTCCACCTACAGCCAAATAGGGAGGAGAACCAATTCCACACAGAGGAAGCAAATGGACAAGATATTAAAAGGTGTGCAATTGTCAAACCATTTCCCAAACAAAGGCAACAAGCATGAGGAGAGAGGTAGTGATTCAGCCTCCTTGTAATTTATCCATAGTATTGATTTTCTAGAGCACCACCTCCCAACAAAAGGCTCTTATTTTTGGGGGTACAGGATTACACTAGACTTCCTTTGTAGGGAAAGAAACTATCGGGTGTGAGGAGTGAAGGAGGGTAGAGTACAAGGAAGCACAGGTAAAAGAGCTAGGGGAACATCTAATAAATCCTAGTGTCCTGACAAGAAGGGTCCAAGAAAGCACTGCTAATAAAGGCAATGAGATCATCTACTATGCCCAATTCATATTCCCTTAATCCTCTCCTTAATCCCAAATTCCATGAGTTTACATTAACACACTAAGAAAGGCAATGAGATCATCTACTATGCCCAACTCATATTCCCTTAACCCTCTCCTTAATCCCAAATTCCATGAGTTTACATTAACACACAGAAGAAATCACACTCCCTTTGTTGAGGGATAAGGAGTAGATAGGTGGAAAGCTGTCTTTAAGAAGAGTATCCCCAAGCCAAACATCTTCCTAGAAATGCACTCTATTGCCAGCACAAACATCATACTTGATATAGAAGAGGAAGGAAGGTAGCAAGCTGTGGATTGCTTTCCAAGGAGATGCCCTTGATGCCTTGGGATCAAGACCAGCATCCCATCCGTTGTCTGCCATACCATGGATACTTACAATTACATTATGCCACAAATTTTCTTGTTCCATAGGAAACCTCCATAACCATTTGCCCAACAGTGCCAAGTTCTTGAGTTTGATATTTCCTATCCCTAAACCTCCACTATCCATGCTCCTTGACACCATCTCCCACTTTACCAAATGATCATTTTTTGTATCCCTTGGCTCCCACAAAAAATCCCTCATAAAATTTTTCAATTTTTGGCCACTTTTGTGGGGGTCTTAAAGGTAGAAAGTTAGTAAACCGACAAATTAATCAAGGTTGACTTTATTAGAGTTATCCTACCCCCTAAAGAGATGTAATTTCTCTTCCATCCCGCAAGCCTTTTTATGAACCTTCCCACTATTAGATCCCAAAATCTATCAGAATTTAGGTTCCCTCCCAAGGGTAGTCCCAGATATTGTAGAGGCCAATCTCCTATTTCATAACCCAACATTCTAGCTAGTAGCTAGGTTTTCTACCTCCCCTCTCTCTTTATTTAAACTTGCAACACAACTCTTGTTCCAATTTACTTTGAGATTGGAAACCCTTTCAAAGTGTGTCATCAACCTTTGTAGGTTGGTCATTTCCTCCCTTTCCCCTTCACAGAAGATAATATCATATGCAAATTGTAGATGGGTAACCACCACATTATTCCTCCCAACTCTCCCTTGAAATCAGGTCACTAAACACATCTGCTATTAGAGTAAAGAAGATGGGAGATAGGAGGTCACCTTGTCGAAGGCCTTTAATAGTTGGARAGAAATCTCTAGCTACTTCATTGACCAATATGGAATAATGACAGGAGGAAATACAACCCTTTATCCATTTACTCCATTTTGCTCCAAAACTTCTTAGACTCAAAACTTCTAGAAGAAAATCCCAGACCACCAAATCATAAGTTTTCTCCAGGTCCAATTTACAAACTAGGCCTTTTTCCTTTCTCCTTTTCCTGAACTCCACACACTCATTAGCAATGAGGATTTGGTCTATTATTTGTCTTCTAAACACAAAAGCCCCTCGATTTGGAGAGATTAAAGAAGGAAGGACTGTTTTAATTCTCTCAGCTAACACCTTGGAGACAATTTTATACATGCTACTTACAAGGCTTATGGGTCTAAAATCTTTTGGACGAGAGGCATCTACTTTCTTAGGGATCATGGCAATAAAAGTAGCGTTTGCCCCTGAGTTTGTGGGAAAAACCAAGGTGCTAGCTAGTTAGGTCCATTGTGTTTGGAGGTTTGAAATCTGGCCCCCTACTGCTACTGCTACTACTACACAACTATTGCTCCTGCTGCTTCTTTTACTGCTACTGCTACTGCTACTGTATATATTTGCTGTTTAGTTGAGAATAGCACAATGGAAGAAAATGGATAGCATGGAAAATGAGATTAGTTATCTCCTTGGCTGTTTGTTTATTCCTGAATTCAAATATATCTTTTGTTACAAAAATAATTGACTAACATCTTTGTATTTACATTATAAGCAGAACTAATTTGCCTTTTTAATAACTTGTAGGTATGAAGTCCCATATAGTGAGCACAGTAGCTTCACAGAACTAAGAGAGTTTGTTCGGCTTGTATCTCCTGACAACATAATACCAAGCGTGAACAATGATGGCCCAGAGTCCGCTCATTCAATGGTTGCCCTTCTGAACTCTTGACCTGAAGAGTGAACCATAAAAATCTGAGAGATTAATTTTGAAAGAAATGGAGTTTTGTTTAGATTTATATTCTCCAATAACATTGGAAGCATTGTGTAGGAGGTTATACTCAGAGCATGAGAACTTGTTTTAGTTCTCCATATGAGTTGAGTTCCAGACATTATTGGTGGTGTATGAACCAGCAACCATGGTTCTAGAACCAACAAACCTCCCTTTTTGAAGTTTGAACACACCAATTTCTCATTTTCTAACCCAGAAAATATGGTTTTTTGATGTAAGCATGAAATGGAAGTTTAATGGTGTCTCACACAACAATAAAGCTCTAATCATATATATATATATATATATATATATACACGTTTGCTCAATAGTGATAGTATGATCAAAGTAGTGAACATATACAAATGAGCGCACAATCAATATTCACATATTATAGGAGCCATGAAGAAAATAGCATATTTGTATCGTCTGATTCCAAAAAAAAAAAGCATTGCCATTTCCTAAAAAAAGGTAATTTTTTTAATCGTCCCCCTTTTAGAATTGTGAATTGATTGGTGAAATAGCAATGTGAGAGAGCCATATATCTGGTGGTAATGGTGAAAACTGAAAAGGAGTTTAGCCATATATACGAGGAGATTTTTTTTCTTTTTCATTTTTTCTTGTCATGGAAATTTTTTTTTGGAAGATAAACAGAATATATATTAAACTAAAGAGATATTTACAAACTGCTCCACTTTTGGGATCCCTTCAGGATAGGCATTATATTCAAAATAAGATAGAGGATGAGTTTTTGCCTGTTGGGATACCTTGTGAGTAGGAATATTAAAAGTACAGTTTATATGTTTAAACATAACAGTAAAATGAAGACTGGAAATTAAAATCTTGGTTCTTTGGAAAAGCCATCGGCAGAACCAAGGTAACAGAGAGTCCTTTTGAAGAGCTTGGATTACTAGAAGATTGTTCGAGCAAATACAGATGTTCCTTTCATTCCATTCTTGAAGTTTCAAAAAGACCTGCAACACAATAAAGAGTTCAGCGTGATCAATGGCAGTAGGTTGAGATGGTCTTCCTCCAATAGCTTTTAAGCACTGAAGAATTGTATTCAAGATCACAATTCCAAATGTAAAAGAAGAGTTATAAAGTTTGCCTGTATTAGTGAAAATGATTAGATCAATAGTACAATTGAGAGAAAGATTTAAAATATTGTTATGAGAGGTAGAGGACAAAGAATTTTCCATAGCAGTGGACTGAGAAGATTTTCGAAAATCTTTGTTAATTGTAGATAGGATGTGCATAGGAAGGATCTGTTCATTTTCAAAAATCTTTCTATTTCTTGCAGTCCAGATGTAATAACAGGCAATTGCAAACTAGTTTAAAATTTGGAGGAAAAGTTGATTATCTTGAATTTGGTTACAAAGGTGATTAAACTAAGTTGCCCAAGAATCATGAGGAATAAGGCTTAGATCAATATTCCAAGGATTGCCAAAGAGGACAGAACGACCAAAGGAGCAATGAATAAAGAGATGATCTATGGTCTCTTCAAAATGGTTACAAAGTATACAAATTTTATCTGCAGGATCAGAGAAAAGAACACTTCTGACTGGGATAAAGTTGTTGAGAAGCCTCCACAAGAAAAGTTGATATCTTGGAGGAACCGACAACTTCTAGATTTTGGATAGGCAAGATTTAACATCATCGGGGATTGCAAGAATAGAGAGTGTTTGTTTAGTTTTATATTCCTCCTTAACAGTAAAGTTCCTGGATTTATGTTGTAACCAAATCCAGTGAACATCATTAAATGAAGGGAAGATAGGAGTTTGTAATATTTTCATAGCTTCTTTTCTATCGAAATATTGTTGAACTATGAGAGGATTCCAATGACCTTCTGAAAGAATGGCAGAAATATGAAGATTCCTCAACTGAGGAGAAATGGGAAAGGGAAACCAGTAGAATTTTTGATTAGTTTGGACCCAAGGGTATTGGGAGATTAGGAAGTCAGAATTTTCACTAACCTACTTCAGATGCCAATTCTCGAAGCTTTGGACAGACTGACTTCCAACAAGTAGAAGCATTAGAGGAAGTGGTGTAAGGAAAGATATTCTCTGGTTTATTTGATTTCTAGATTTGGGCCTAGAGTTTGTGTTGTTCATTCAAAAATTTCCATGCAATTTTCTTTAGGAGGGCATGATTAACCAAAGTCAAAATTTTAAACCCCAAACCACCAAAAACCTTTCATAAGGTCAAGATATTCCAAAAACACCAACAATAACAGTGTTTATGAGAGTCTGAAATATTCCACCATAAATTTTTAACTATTTTAGTGATTTGATGAAGAGTTTTCTGGGGGAATTGGATTAGACTCATTGAATGGATATGAACAGCTTGCAGGACCGATTGGATCAAAACCTTTTTCCTAGCTTGATTTATGGCTAATGCTCTCCAACTGTTTAACTTAGCTTTCAGATTATCTAGAACATAGCTAAGTTGGTTATGTCTATTTCAGGATCAAAGGAGAGGAATGCCAAGGTATTTCAAATTCTGGTTGATGGAGCCTATATGGAGTTGTCTTTTGATCATTCTTTGATGGTGAGGATAGATATTTTTACTAAAAAAGAGCTCAAACTTTTCAAAATTTATTAGTTGCCTAGAAGCATTTTGGAATTTAGAGAGAATTAAGTTCAAATTATCAAACTCTTCTCTATGGGCTCTTAAGAAAAGCAGAACATCATATGCAAAGGAGAGATGTGAAAAAGTGGGAGAATAGGGAGATAAAATTATTCCTTTAAGTTTATTCTCAGCTTCCGCTTGACATAATAGATGACTCAGCCCTTCCATGGCTAGAATAAAGAGATAGGGAGATAAAGGATCTCCTTGACGTAGGCCTCTAGTGGGACAAAAATGACCTTCCGAAGTGCCATTAATCAGGATAGAGTAAGAAACCGTGGAGATGCATTCTTTAATGAAGTGATAGAAATCCTCAGAGAAACCTAGTGAAGACAGAACACTTAATAGGAAACTCCACTCCAGACGGTCATAGGCTTTTGACATATCCAGTTTAACGGCAATGTAGCCTGTACCCTGCTTTTTATGTTGCAGGTAGTGAAAGGCCTTCTGGGACAGAATGGTATTATCAGACATGTGGCGTCCAGGGACAAAAGCTACCTGATTAGGAGCTATACATTTATCAAGAATAGTACGAAGCCTAGAAGCTATCAGTTTGGCTATGATCTTATAGGTGACATTGCATAAGCTAATAGGCCTATAATCTTGGACTTTTGTACAATCTATTTTTTTTAGGAATAAAACAGATAAACGTGTGATTTAATCTCCTCAGTAATTTCTTATTCCTAAAAAATTCTTGAATCACCTGAACAATTTCAGATCCCATGAAGTCCCAACATTCCTTAAAGACCAAAGTTGGCATCCCATCTGGGCCAAGGGATTTGAAACTTCCTATACTGAAGAAAGTTGATCTGATTTCTTCTTTAGAGGGGATGCGCAATAACATGGAGTTGTCCTCTTGAGAAATTATTGGTGGAAAAAGGGATTGCAGGTCTTCAATTTCCTGGGTTTCTTGGGAAGAGAAAAGATTCAAAAAATAATCCACACAAATTTTGGCTATCTTCTGATGAGTTGATTTCCATTGATTAGCACTATCCTTGATTCCTTCAATGTAATTCTTTTTTCTTCTACAAATAGTACTCTTACGAAAAAAGTTGGTAATCCTGCCTCCCAAATGCAGCCATGTGTGGCGAGAATTTTGCCTCCAAAAGCTCTCTAACTGCCAAGATGCCTCTTCTAACTGTTTGTATAGGCTTTGAATTGATAGGTGGTCTTTTGATTGTTCAACCTGAATAATTTATTTCTCCAAAGTGTCTATTTTTAATTTGGGATCAATAAAATGAACTTTCCTCTACTGAATTAGATTTTTTTTTTTAAATTTCATTAATTTTCCTAGTTAACCAAAAAGCTGCATAGCCATTCACTTGAATTTGCCACCCTTCTTCTAGTACATGTCTGCAAGAGTCATCTGAGAGCCACATTTCAAAAAATCTGAAGGGTTTAGGTAATTTCTAGTGTTAGGGGTGCAAATTTAAAATTAAAGGATGATGATCAGAACCCCATTTTGATCCTAAGGAGAGAGAGGTATCAGGGAATAATTGAAGCCAATCCAGAGATAAGATAGCTCTTTCTAGAGTTCTCTGTATGTGGCCTATGGTTCTTTTATTTGTCCTAGAAGAACCTCCCCCTTGGAGGTTAAGTTCCAGAAGATTACGATTAAAAATTATGTTTCTATATTGAGATGAGGTCAGGTGATTACTGTTAGAATTGGAAGAAAAAGGAGCATAAGTATCTATAGATACAACTTCATTAAGATCACCCATTAAAAGAAAAGGAAGATTAATAGTATGTAACAAGCTATTCATATCTTTCTAAAAAGCATTCCTTCTATGTCTAACTGATAGACCATGAATAAATCCTAAAATCCAATTTTCAATAGAGGAGTGAATTTTCAAAAACACATACCTTGCATGTGAGCAAAAAGCAGAGGCATTTAAAGCAACTTTCCAAACAACTGCTAATCCTCTTGCTTGGCCTTCAGGATTAATGATGAAGGAGTTAGGGTAACACAAAGTATTAATTAAAGAATTTAATTTAGAATAATGGATTTTGGTCTCACATAAAAAATAATATTTGGGTTGAACCAGGAGACCAAATTCATTAGTCCTTGAACTGCCTTGGGACGAGAGGCCCCACGACAATTCCAACTTATGATTAACATGGATACGGGTGGGGCTGAATTGGGCTACCCACCTCCGCCCACAGAGATAAAAAAAGAGAAAAGCAGTAGAAAGTAGAAAGTACCAACTCCTGGTGCTCTGTATCTGAATCCACGTCTCGAGGAGAAGCATTGTCCATATTTATGATTCGAGCAGGAGAGTCGGTAGGATTTGACATATTAGGATGATAAAAAATCGGGATAAGATTTGGGTTAGACTCAATCTGGAGACCCAAAAGAAGATCTACACGAGGTCTCTTACCTCGGATACCAGAAGAAGGCCTAGGATGATCATCTAAAATACGATTTAGCAAAGATTGGGCACTTTCCGTCAGGTGAAAAGTAGCTGCAGAGACTCTGACATGAGACAGATTGGAAGAGGAGGCTATCACCGAAGGATTTGGTGACTGGGTAGTTGGAGAAGCATGATTCAGAGCAGGAGTCATAGGGTTAGTAGGTGGTGTGGAGAAATCTTCTTGGTGAAGACTTGCATTTTGGGAGGTGTGGACGATGGCAAATCAACAAAGTCTTTGAATAGAGACATTTTCCAAGTGCACCACAGGGTTTGTTTAGCTTTTAACCATGGTCCAAGGTGATCTATAGTCCTTCTGTTGAAAAACTGATCATAGGACAAGTTGTTTGTGTGGGGCATAGGTTGCGAACAACGACGGAATTGATGGCCAATCCTTCCGTAGATGTAATAGGTCTATGGAAGATCTTCATAACGATAAGTAACCCATTGATGTATGGCAACAAAGCAACCAAACTTGAGAGGTCTATCTACTGAGATGATTACCTTTGCACGAATATAATTTTGCACAACTGAGATAAGCCTAGTGTGTCCTATACGTTCGAACAAAGGTCGGCCAACATCCACTGAGAGAGTTTCAAACGGTAGATCATGTAATTGGACCCAAATTTCTATCTGCTGGATATTCCAAAAATACTGGGGCCTACCAGGAACCTAGGGTTCCATGAGAATCCACTGATAGTCCAAGGACCTTCATTATGGATTCGATTATAGTCATCTTCATAGCAAAAGTTTAGACAGAAGTGATCTCGGTGGAAAGGTGCTAATAGTAATCTATCTAGGTTAAGATTCCACAACTCATATAGACCTTGGACAACATCTTCAAATTGGTCAGTCAGTATGGGAAACAAACGACAGATGAGGGAGAGGTTCCAAGCCTCATGAACATTGGAAGGGACCAAAGATTGGATATTTACCACTTCAACAGCTCCTTGGTCATTACCTTGGAGCATGTTTTGAAAAGCCTAGTTAAGAGCTTCCATATTCTCCATGAAAAAGGAAGGAAAACAAATGATAAGAGAAAAAGATTATAAGGAAAGACACATAAAAGAAGAGAGTAAGGAGGGAGAGTAGATAGTAAAGATGGAAGAGAAACAAAAGTAAGAAAGTAAACTGCCTACTTCAAAGTGAATTATKTAAAACCTGTAAACTAGTTCGTGTAACAATAACAAAGTAACGAGAATATGTAACAAGTAACAATAACAAAGTAACGAGAACATGTAACGAGAATCAAATAAAGATTTCGAGATACTTCTTGATCTTTAGTTCTATTGAACTTGCATGAGAAATAAGTGCAATGTGTCCTACACGATGGAGAGTGTCGCAATAAATCTCTGCTTCGAGAGGAAGATATGATGAGCGTCAAATCCTTCCGCTAAAATAAGGGCCTGTTCGTTTGCTCTGAAGTCTGACATCTGAAAGTGTAATAATTACATTAAGAGATATATTGGTATTGGTGAACTTTTCTTTCCTCTAAACTTTGAATGAAGAAAATATTGTTCTGAATTCTGAATTATAAAAACTATCAAATATCCATTTTGGCCCTATATATGAGAGTTTTTGTTGTCTTTTTGGGAGTATCATTGGAAAACAAAAAGTTGTATGATTATACTTTAAGAAATAAGAGATAAGAGGAAATGAACGACTAATTTTCTCTTAAAATTAAAAAATTACTCTGATTTTCTCTTAAACTTAGCAACTGGCCTTAAGTTGAGTGAACCTTTCTGTAAGATTTTTGTGTTGCCATAACTGCCTGTTGCTCACAGCTGTCCTTGGATTTTTCTCGCGTGCCTTGAAAATGATACAGCTGCATTTAGTTGCTATAGGCTTTGTACAAGATGTCTAAACTCTAAACCAATCGGCGATCACAAACCATAATTATTACTGTCCCATAATTCGACCAGTATAAACCAAAACAATATTATCATACTATGATGTCTACATGTATAAATTTAACAAATAAGTAGATGTATGGTCAAATTACGGGTTAAAAGCTTAGAATATGTAGATTTATAGTCAAATTACGGGTTAAAAGCTTAGCTGTCAATTATTATTGGGTGTTATTAGGTCGGACCCTATGGGTTCTAGACTTCTAGTGCGGAATTGGTTCTGCACATTTAGACCGGACCTGACCCATTTAGACTAAACCTGAACCACTGTTTATTCAGATAGATGTCCAATTTGAAGCAAGTTCACTGCCGATTCAAATCTTAACAAAAGCTCAACCCGAGCTCGCCCGAGTTGCACCTGAGTGGTCCAACCTCTAAACCAGATTCAAAACAGTAGTTCACACTTCACAGTTTTACTCTCAGTAAACCACGGTGAGGCATTTACTTCGTTCCTATCGGATTCGTCTGTCATGGCAATGTGCCCATCTGCCATGAAATGTTGCCGGAGCCACGAACTCGATCAGAACAGCAATTAGCAAGCAACGCCACGTACAGTCCATTTCAGCATCCACTAGAAGACAAATGACCACCAACTGGTGGATCGTGTAAAGTAACTGATCTTTTCTCGCTAATCAAGTAGTCATGTTCACGTGTCGTTAAAATAACGAGTGCATGAAATTCTACCTTTTCCATCCTCCGACACCCCGAGGACATAATCGTAGTATCGTATCATGTCTGTAGCGCGAAGAACCCAAGAGTTGCCTAAAATGATTGTTTACTGGTATTCCTGAAAAAATTAACATCACAATTACCCTTCTCTTTCCATCTCTATTAAATCTCTGGGTCGAGAGGGTTTCACAATCCCTTTTACGAGGGCCTTTCTTTCTCCCGTTTCGTTCCCTCCGCTTCGAGGGTTTCCCCCTTTTTTTTTTTCTTTTTTTTTTTTTCCCTTTTCTTTTGTTTTTCTTTTTCTTTTCTTTTCTTTCTTTCTTCTTCTTCTTCATTATCTTCTTCTTCTTTGCTACAACTGAAACCCTAAGAACCTCTTTCTTTCGCTCTCTGCAACTTCGAGTTTGGAAAATGCAGCAGAGGCTGAAGCAACAGCAGGCGTTAATGCAGCAAGCGGCTCTCCTTCAGCAACAGCAGCAACCTCTCTATCATCCTGGCCTCCTAGCCCCTCCTCAGGTGTCCTTTTTTTTCCTCTTTGGTTGAATTTTCTTTTATTTTTCTTTCTTTTCTGTTTGTTGTTCTTTCCTGTTGTGTTCTATGGACTTAATCTTTGCGTTCTTTCGTCATGATTGGTCTTCAGTTTGGGAGCTAGGGTTTTTTCTTTGAGATACCGTTTGATCTTCGTGTTGATTTTATTTTCTTTTGTTCTTTCCTGTTTTGCTTTATGTAGTCAATGTTTGCGTTCTTTCTTCATGATTCGTCGTTGTTCTTCAGTTTGGGAGCTATAGTTGCACTTTGAGATACAAATTGATCTTTGTGTTGCTTTCTTTTTTAAGAAAAAAGTATGGTTCTGGGAGTGTTCTCTTTGGTGGTTTTAAGGGCTTCTGTTGACTTTTTCTTTTACGTTTTTGGGTAAGTTGATAAAAATTTGGTTGTTTTTTTTTTCTCTATTTAATTCAATAGGTTCTTAGGTAGGTTTTGTAGAGTGTTTTTATTTTATTGTCATTGTTCCCAAATAATGATTTTCTTGTCAATTGTCATTACCTATTTTTTCTGGGTTTATCCTGTTATATATCGACTTTTGGGACTAAATGTATTTTTATGGGTAGAAATAAATCGAAATCATCTCGTCCACAAATTAACAAGGAAATTTTAGTTAAGATAAAATATTATTAAGTATTATGTATTACCAGTTTAGGGTGATTTGTTGGTCACAACCCTCTCAAGAAAAACTCACCTCTGAATGGACGCTAGTTTTGCCTTTTTCTCTGGGCTACTTCGGTTACTACTGAAATACATTAATTGTGTCAAAGTTTCTTTCTTTTGGTTCCTAGTAGGCGCACTCATGGATACTTTCTGAAAATAGGTTTTATTATATTTTGAAACACCAAGTGAGGGCAGTCTTTTATCGCTAGGGCTATTTTTTCCTTTTTTTTGTTTTTTTTTTCACATTTCTCTTTTGCAGATTGAGCTGATCCCAAGTGGAAATCTGCCTCCTGGGTTTGATTCAAGTACATGCCGCAGTGTGTGAGTGTTATTGGGACATTCTCTTTCTTTTATTTTTTGTTCTTCCCCCTCTCTTTCCCGTTAATTCTTCTTTTGCATTTTTGTCTTATGTTTATGCCTTTATGGATTTATGCTTATTTACCGGGCATGTAGCTTTTGTTAACTAGGATAATTTTTTAGTTACCAAAATCTTTCACTTTCATATGGTTTGAGGCTATATATTTTTCATTTTTGTTTTTATTTTCTTATGAATCTGTCAACTTTATCCACACTTCCCAAAAAAGTATTTATGCACCACTATTCAGTAGTGATGTCGTTTTATAATGTTTATATTTCCCCTTTAGTTTTCTTTGTTAACTTGTAGAAGTTGCAGGTATGTGGGTAACATTCATACACAAGTTACTGAACCACTTCTTCAAGAGGTTTTCTCAAGTACTGGCCCCCTTGAAGGGTGCAAGCTCATCAGGAAGGAGAAGGTATACATTCCATTTGAAGTCATTTGGTTTGCATTACCAGCCGCCGCATGGATCTATAATAAAACTATGATGTAATTAAGAGAGAGGGTTTCTCTTTAATCCTTCTTTTGTTGTTATATTCTGATTCATCCTTCACCAGTTTATGTATTAATGCTGCCCAGAGGTTAATATGCATTGATCACATGATCAGTGATTTAAAAGGCGCGCCTAGGCACATTTTAGGGTATGTGCCTAGCCCAGGTCCTAGGTGCACCCCTTTCAAAGGCACACCTAGGCGTGCAGTCGTGTTACCTGATGTGCCTCACCCCAGCGTGCGTCTTCTTAAAAATTCAGTGCTTTTTGTTTTTTTGAGCCTAACGGTTGGGTTGGGGGCTCCGCCCCCGAACTCCGACCATGCCCCTCGAAGCAAGCCCGAACAAGTCCATGTTAGGGTCTTAAATCCTATTTGCTAATGTTGTTCATTCATTCATTCCAATAAAATATCCTCTTAAAAGGCAATTAAAGTTACAAAATCATTATTTTTTATGTGAGAAATAAGAATTTAAGACCCTAACATGGACTTGTTCGAGCTTGCTTCGAGGGCGTGGTACAAAGGTGACTTAAAGAATCAAGAATGCAATATGTTTTACATCACATTAGCTACTTGAAGTAATGCAATTGAGGAAAAAAAGAGATTGTGGGTTTTACATGCTTGAAAATGCTTTATATGTTTGCTTTATTTTTAAATTTCCATTTGAATATGCTTTACATGTTATGTTTATGTATTTTAAGTTTAGATAATAGGTTTTTTAAAACATTTATTTTAAAATTTAAGTTTATATTTTTATTAACATTATGTTTAATATTTTTTGATGTTTTTTTGAATTTTTATTTTTTTTGACAATTTTTTTTAAATTTCTGACTTTTTCCGATTTTTTAGATTTTTTTTTTGTATTTTTGTGCCTTGCTTCAAAAAGGCACGTGCCTCGCCTTGTGCCTCAGGCACAACTTGGCCCTTGCGCTTTTAAAACACTGCACATAATACTCCACAAACATCTCTCCACTTCATTGCTGATCCAAGGACAAGACTCATGCTGTTAAATGAAGATCTGATGTGTATGATAGATGCTGTAGAATAATAAATGAAAAGAAAAGGATAATTTCACTTAGGAGCAGTATTGCATGAACCCTCCTAAATGGATGTCCTACACATAGAATTCTGATACCCATGGTTTCTTGGGGAAATTTTTATATAGCATTTCCTTTTTATCTCCTATATTATTTGACATAAATGCACCACTAATATACAAGATGAATGCCATTTTTTTGTATCGAATGTTGCTAGCAACTCCAGGATGTACAAGTCCAGCTTGCAATGCTAGATTACTACAAGATTGGATGACTTGTGAGTCTGGAGTCTTGTGAGACCAAATAAGCTGTGAGTTTGGACAACCTGCAAGACTGGATATATGGACTTCCAGTGTTAAGGGAATCATAAATCATTCAATCTCGCAAGACATCCAGTCTCGTAGATTTCTTAACCAGACCCATAGCTTATCTGGTCTCGTGATACTCCAGGTTCACAAGTCGTCCAATGTTGTAGTATCCTGGAATTGCAGGCTGGACTCACGGGTCCCAGATTCACTAAGACTCTGGACTCCCATTCTTAGCAATTTTGTGGGGTTGACCCGGTTTAGGGGTTTCTCATATAAATAACTTTGTACCTTGCACAGAAAGTCATCTTGTATTTTGGGTGCCAAGAAAAGATAACAGAAGAGTGTGTGAGATATAGGAAGATGGAACTTTGGGTGTGTTGGGAGCTGGGGCTTTGGTCAGATGGCTGTGAACATATTGTATCTGTAGTCTCCATTGTTTCATTAGTGGATTTCTTCTCCTCTGATACCCGTGGATGTAGGCTATAAGCCAAACCACACTAATCTTTGTGTTTTGTGTTGCTTTTTTAATCTGTTATATGTTTTCTTTCTTGTTTCCCTACTTGCTAATCATTTATCTTGTTCCTCGGTTTGTTTGTATCTCAACATGTGTACTACCTTAAGAGTATATACTTTCCATTGACATGCCTAAGATGCTTTGTTTTCTCACTTGTAGAGTCAGACTCTTGGATACACGTCAGATTCTAATTTCTGTGTCCATGTCCTTGACCATGTCGATGTCCATGCAACACTGCTTAGGAGTCAGCACCTAAAAGCTTGAAGGAATCTGCATCAGGCCCTTCTATTAGCCCTGGGCTCTCAGTGTTTTAAAAGTGCAAGGGCCAATTTGCGCCTGAGGCGCAAGGCGCAAGGCGAGGTGCGCACCTTTTTAAGAAAGGCGCAAAATTACAAAAAAAAAGCTAAAAAATAAAAAAAAGTCTGAAAATTCCAAAAAATGCCAAAAAAATGCAAAAATATTAAACATAATGTTAATAAAAATATAAACTTAAATTTTAAAATAAATGGTTTTAAAAACCTATTATCTAAAATTAAAATACATAAACATAACATGTAAAGTGTATTCAAATGAAAATTTAAAAATAAAAGAGTACATATAAAGCATTTTCAAGCATGTAAAACCCGCAATCTCTTTTTTTCCTTAATTGCATTGCTTCAAGTAGTTAATGTGATGCAAAACATATTGCATTCTTGATTCTATGAGTTGCCYTTGTAGCATGCCCCTTGAGGCAAGCCGACGGAGCCCCCGGCCCAACCGTTAGACTCAAAAAACAGCAAAAAGCACAAAATTTTAAAAAGGCGCAAGGCGCGTCAGCCAGGCATGCGCCTTTTGAAAGAGGTGTGCCTAGGACCTGGGCGAGGCGCATACCCCAAAATACGCCTCGCCTGTGCGCCTTTTAAATCACTGTGGGCTCTACATCAATCCCACTTCAGCTCTTATGAGAACATACTCTTCAGTGTTCTTGTCATGAAACTATTGGGCATGGTAGTGATTAGTGAATATGATTTGAGGAAAAAAAATACTAAGTTCCCCATCATCCATAATGCAGGAAAATGGGTTAGTTTTATCTCCTTGGCTACTTCCTTATCATGCACAACATTTTCCTAACATGTTAGAGATAATAATGTGAAAGTAGTGGCCTTATTTTTGGGGTCCTATTGGATTCGGAGACTCCACACCACAGTAGCAACTATTGGTCATATTGTCTAATTTGGAAAGTCTTTAAATTACAAAAGCACAGAGGTGGAGGGAGGTTGAAAAGTTGTGATGGGCTGGTTCATAGAAAACAATTTAGGCATTTGTTACATAGGCAATTAATAAGAGAGGTATAAAAGTAGGGAGGGAACTGGGAGTAACATTTAAATGGGTATTCAATAGTATTGCTGATGCTCTGGAAGATAAGTGAATAGGAACACTTGTATAAGGAACTACAATACTGTTGTTTTCTGGCGGGTAGCACATGCTAACCTAGGTGTTTTTGGTAGCTCACCCTGACTAGCTTGTTCATTGTTTCTTGCAATTCTAATAAATTGAAGTGTTACTGATAAGAAATTCTCCAAACGTGTCTGTAAAATTACCTGGGACCCTTTGCTTTCCTTTCTCAAGCAACTCAAAACAGTATGCTTTCTCTAACGAACAAATTTTATATGAAACTTACTTCACTTCTATTTCAATTATTAATCATCTCTCCAGACTTGTGGACAGGCATTTGGTTCCAACTCTACAGACTAGTTATCAAACAAATATTGTATAAAACTATAAATTATATACATTTCCTAGACATACAAAGAATTTAATAATTTGTGCGATTTCCCTCTTACAGGAAAGAGATCCTGCTCTTAACCGAATCAACATTCTAATTTCATACTTCGATATTATCTTAGTGGTTGTTCATCATAATACTGACACATCTCTTGGTTGCACGTTGACAGTCATCCTAYGGTTTTATAGATTACTTTGATCGTAGGTCAGCTGCACTTTCCATTTTGACTCTTAATGGAAGGCATCTGTAAGTAAAGTCCTGGTGGATTTCCATTTGCTTCTGTGTCAACCCTGTATCCTGTTTCTTACTTCATATTTACAGGTTTGGGCAGCCTATTAAAGTTAATTGGGCATATGCCAGTAGTCAGAGAGAAGACACATCAGGTTACCTATTGTTATCAATGTTACAGTGTAATGTATTCCTTGATTCTTTTGATTCTTAGTTTGACACTGAATGATTTTTAACTTTTCTATGCAGGTCATTATAACATATTTGTTGGTGATCTTAGCCCTGAGGTTACAGATGCTACCTTGTTTGCATGCTTCTCTGTTTATCCCAGTTGTTCGTAAGTTCTCAGCAAATCTCTGTTGTTTAAACAGTTTCTTTCCTCATTTTTTGAACATTTAAGTAAGGTATTAATGTATTATATTACTGAATATCAAAGATAGATTGCAAAGGAAACAGCACTGGAGGTGTGATCCAGCCAGATAAGGCTGGCTACATATTGTTTTAGCACTTCCCTTGATTTTCTAAAATCCTTTTGCTTATGCTTGGCACCATATTCAGTGGTAGTAAATTGTTTTGAGATATATTAACAACTATGGTGATTCCAGAGATGCAAGGGTTATGTGGGATCAAAAGACTGGCCGTTCAAGAGGGTTTGGGTTTGTTTCTTTTCGCAATCAACAGGTAGTATGCTTTTTTCTTCTTTTTGTTATTTTTAGTACCTTTTGATGATGATGAAAGTGTTCCTATGTGCTAGTGTCTAACAATGATATTTCCATTGTTCCTTTGTGGCCAGGATGCTCAAAGTGCCATAAACGATTTAACTGGTAAGGAAAGATGTATTGCTTGAATATTTTGTTGGCTTCCCTTTCCAAAGCATGATAGAGTTCCTTGAGAGAGAACATAGTGAGTTTGTAAAAAAAAGGAGTGCTACATAGGTGGTATTGGACCAAATAAGGACATGTATGAGAGTGCAACAACCAATGTTAGAACACCTATGGGAGAGACATGAAAGTTTCTAGTTATGATTGAACTTACTCAACACGTAATCCTTATTTATTTGCATTAGTCATGGATGAATTGACCATGGATATTCCAGGTGGAGGCAAGGATCAAAATATCAGGACAATAGGCCCCATATCGAGTTACCCTAGTTGTATCTAATGTCATGGAAACTCATGGAGACACTGATATACACAGGGTTGGGTGATTTTGAAAGTTTGGGATGATATAAGCATCCTTCTCAGGTTAATAAAATAAAAAAAGAGTATTGGTCTTATTGAAACACACCGATATCCAATTTTTGGTATCATGCATATAAATCTTTTGATCCTTGGGTGGAGGCCCCGTGGTGTATGTTATTTGTTGATGACATGGTATTAATTGATGAAACTAAAAAAGGATTGAAAGGCAACATTAGATTTATTAACAAATACCTTAGAAAACTAAAATAGGCATAGGGCCATAAATGAATTTATTTGAAGGAGCCTAGTGGTGGCTCAAATAAGTGATAAAACAAGTTAAAGTAGATAAAAGATGGTTTGATAATTTGATCATGTGCAAAGAAGACCATTTGCAGTACCAGTAAGAAGTGATTTGTTACAATTCAAAGGTTCTAGAAGAACTAAGGRCACACAAAAAGGGCATGGGCTGAGCTGCTGAATTAGTGAAAAATGATTCAATAAACAATAATTTAATAGTGGATACTCAATGGTAATGGATGGTGGAATAGGATTTGTGCAGTTGACCTTTTATAGTTGGGACAAGGCTTAGATGAAGATGGTTTACTTTTTGGGGTGCCATTTCTAGCAATGCCTAGTGCAACCTAATGCTTATCGTACTTACGAAAATATGAACCTTTTTGAAATCTTTTACAAGAACCTAATACTGCAATTTTCATCCCGAGGGGAAATGTTAAAGTGACATTATGGACATTAAAAAGTTTGACACCTGAGTTCTTTGTTTGATTTGGTTTAGTTATTCTCTAATGCAGGAAAGTGGCTCGGTAGTAGACAAATTCGTTGTAATTGGGCTACAAAAGGTGCTGGAGCTAATGATGACAAGCAAAACTCAGATGCCAAAAGTGTGGTAGAGTTAACAACAGGAACATCAGGTGGTTTCATCTCTAAAATGGATTTTACATGGTTCATATTCAGCTCCAAATAATCACTGGTTGTGTAATGAGTTTTAAGCCATGATGCTTTTTAAGCTAAATTTTTATCTCCAAGAATTAATTCTTAGAATGAGTTTTGAGTGTTCCCCACAAAAATAGGGATTCGGTTCCAGTAACTTTCATACATGCAAACTTAAAATTAGTTCTTAAAATCACAAAGTTCATCAAAATTAATTATTTGAAAACATGCCAAACGCAGCCTAACAAGCCTTTTTTGATATAATGGATATGGCTGTTATGGTGTCCTCAGGAGCTGCATTATTAGTTGATTAAAAACCAAAAATCATTGGTGCTCTGCTTGTGTTGAACTGACTGATACATGTACGGTCACATGCATAGGTTATGTGTACCAATTTCACCCAAGGAACACATTCACTACTTTTTCTTCTTTTATCGTCTACCTAAGAGCTAATAACATAACGACTATTATTTGTGTTTCACAGGAACCAGATTTTAGGAGAAAGGATGAGCTGAACTTTAGTTGTTTTATGGCTTATGGGACATAAAGCGTATATGGCCCACAATCACTGAAATCTCACTTGAATTGGCTGGTGCAGAGCAAAATGATTGGTCCTACAGCCTGTAAAATGGCTATGAAGTTCAGCTAATCAACTGTCATCTGATGCATGTATAGCGGTCTTGCTTGCCAAGACAAAGAGACAAAGATTACCTTGTTGCTTGATAACATTTTGTCAGAAAACTGACAATTCATTATTCACAAGTCCTCTTGCTGTGAATGAAGGGGCTCCATGTTGCATGTGGGACCTGGTGACATTAAAAGTGAGACTGATATAATTGGAAATGTTTAACATGGGCTCCAAATGAGTGCCACTTTCTCCGCTGTTGGTATCACTTTAATGCGTGTGTGCCTTTGACCAATGTAGATCCTCTTAAATCATTGCAACAACCCAGGGCCTAAACCTCTTTACTGCAAAAGTCAACTCACTTAGCTGTTCTTCTATGTCAAATGAGCTAGGAAACAGAAAATGCTATATTGAAGTGTCCTTCAAGAATTGGAGTACTGGAGTCTACATGTGTCCAACATAGAAACTTCATCCACTTAGTATAGTCCATGCGACCTGGCTAATATTTTGCCTCTTATTTTCTTGTGCAGAAGATGGTCAAGAGACAACGAATGATGATGTTCCAGAACATAATCCTCAGTATACTACAGTTTATGTGGGCAACCTTGCTCCTGAAGTAAGAAAACATCTTACCCTGATTCTTTGTGTACCAATTTGGTAAAGTGGCAAAAAAAGAAAAAAAAAGGAAGGGAAACGATTTATCAAAAAAGGAAAGGGAAAGGGCCATTACCTAATGGAGTCTGGATTTCCTGCACTAAACACTCACCATGTGACAATAGTAAAAGTTTGGTCAAATAATCGCATCAAAGAGAAAGTTCAAAGTAAAATATTTGGCATATTTTAAGACATTTTCAACACACACATGTAAAAGGTTTTAAAATTTTAAAATATTAATGAAATTAAAAATTCCCAAATTTCTGGACCTGTACATTTCAAAATCTGAGTTATTCATGTATTGTATGTTCTTCCTGAATTATTTTCCGTTATCTTTAAAAAGATATGATTCTGAATGTTTGATGTATTTTTTAAATGTCAATATAAAAATATAATACAATGTATTATGCACGAATTTTCTCTGATAGGTGTTCTGTTACACGTGTAAACACCCATGCATGTAATAGTAACTGAATTTTGCACAAAGTCCTGAAAACCTGTCACAGTGATTGGTTGGTCCAGGAAGTGCTGGAAATCTGGTCCTGCTATGTGGGATCTTAGTTGGGAGTGGACTGGATACCTGAGTTTTGATGAACAAAAGTGTTAAATTGGCCATCGTATATAAAATATTTTAAATGGAAAAGTATCGAGAGTGCCAAAGCTAGGAAAGGGAACTTTGAGGTGAAAGCCCTTCATGTGGTTCACCAACCGCTTTACCTTTGGCTCTCCATATTTCTTAACCAAACATTGCCTTTTGGGTTTCTTTGCCTTGAAACTTGTGAAACTGAAAACAGATCCAATCATAATATTCAAATATTAACAACGGATCCACCTGAGCTAGAATGTCATCACTGTTGAATCTACTCAAGGTTGAAAAATCTCCCACCAAACAATGTGATTTGTAGATCTTGTCATCATAAGGGAAAAAACAATTACTAAAATCTACTAGTAGGAATTCATATACCTTGTTTGCATTTGACATGCAACTTTTTTATTTATTTATTTATTGAATATTATTGATTAAGAGCAGTAGAACACTTGCACAATTAATGCCATTTGCCCTATAGCTGCGTAGTGGTGAAGGGGGGGGAGGGGGGATTTTATCCAAGGCAATCACATTGCTGTGTCAATATTGAACCAGATGAAGTGCCCATGGGACATGACTTGTAACGCTTACGCCCCGTTATTTTTAACTGTTTTTTTACATCCAGACCCAGTGTATTGTTACTAAACCAACCTGACACCAAGTCTGAAGCCAGATCAGATTGCCGAGAGTTCTTGAACAAATAGCTTTTTGGGCAAGTGCTCTTGGTAATGTAGCTTTCTGTATATGACGTTCAGTGTTTTGTCTGACAAATCCRGACATGGTTCTTATAATATATTTCTTATATATACAAGAATAAATTATTTTCAGGTTACGCAGCTTGATCTCCACCGGCATTTCCATTCTCTAGCTGCTGGAGTGATTGAAGAAGTCCGGGTGCAACGAGAAAAAGGCTTTGGGTTTGTCAGATACAGTTGCCATGCTGAGGCAGCTCTAGCTATCCAAATGGGCAATGGCCGAATTATCTATGGCAAGCCAATTAAAGTAATCTTGTTCATACCATTGATTTTCTCGTTTTGCAGAATTGCTGTATACTTGTTCTTTTGACTATGTTTTTGCCGAGGTTCCTAACGCCACTGTCAATTGATTTTCGTTTCTCCAAACGTTGCAGTGCTCATGGGGTAGTAAACCTACTCCTCCAGGAATAGTCTCAAATCCTCTCCCACCACCTACAGGTCCTATTCCTATGTCAGGTCTTTCACCTGCTGATCTTCTGGCCTACGAGCGGCAGCTGGCAATGAGCAAGATGGCTGGTGCTCAGGCCCTCGTGCATCCACAGGGTCAGCATGCATTGAAGCAGGCTGCCATGGGAATGGGTGCTGCTGCTGGAGCTAGCCAGGCAATCTATGATGGAGGCTTCCAGAATGTATCTGCTGCACAACAGCTCATGTACTACCAGTAGTAACGTGTTTCTCTTTTTTATATTGTATTCTCCAGTCTTTGTTGATTGGTTGGAATGTTGGAACTCTTAAGACGTTTGTGGTGCTTTTTCTTGCCCATCCCAGTTGTGACGTATATATAATATATTGTGAATTGTGACGTATGGTCCATGGTTCCTACTTCCTATTTTAAATAGGGATCAATGGCTATTAAGCCTATAATTTTATTGTAAGTTGCTCGTGTTAAACATAGCAGCCTGTTGAGTGGGTTCCTTTGCTGTGCTCAAATGAGCGAGGGGGAGAAATTCCAAAGGGGAAGGGTATAGTAGACTGGTAGTTAGAGAACCGGTTTTTTCATGTTTTCTATTCACATAAATTGAGAAAAAAAAATTTCCGTCAGATAAATGGGAGTGGATCCAAATTGCGCTCAAAGGTGGAGATGCTAAGGAAACCACTGCATTACTAAAAAGCAGCTTTGCATATGGTAGTTTTTGCATTTTTTTTCGGTTCTCCGGTTGTGACTTGACAATGCTTCGAGGGAAAGAATCTATAGCGGCATTAATAATCGCTGCTCCAATGTATACGCCAGCGAAATGCAGCGTTTTACAAAATCTGCCGTCAAAATCTACATGCTGGTAACCGCCACTATATAAAGATATAGAGTGGCGGTTATAATGTTCATTAACACCTGCAGTTATAGAGCGCCATTGCTACAGTCATGAACCTCCGCCGAAGCCAAGGAATCCGCCGCTATAGATATAGCGGTGGCAGTTATTTAGGGTTCATTAAAATAGGTTTTTTGTGTTTTTTACGACGTCACCATAGAGGCCTAGGAACTGCTATAGCGACGGTTTTAAACGCTGTTGATGGTGATTTATGACCGCCGCTATATGTTAACTTGGCTTTTAGCAGTAGAAGAAACTGTAGATTATATCCTTAATGGCGATGACTGCCGCTATAGGGTTGTGCTTTATTAAAAAAAACACACTACATACATAAATTTCTATCCAAGTTCTCCAATAAAAGTTTATTATCAAAACTTGAATCACATCTCAACTATATCCATACATTCATGTGTTAATATAATATTACAATTTTGTCTTCAAGAAAATGTTGCAATTTTTATATCAAGGATTAGGCCCAGGTCCAGCCCTAAAATCCAAACCCAGCTGTACGCTGGGCCGATCTGGGCTCAGGTTGGGCCCGCAAAGTTACACCCCCTACTGTGCACACATTTGAAATCTCATACGAGAAAGTTCCACAAGCCCTAAACCTTATCTACCCAAACAAATCAAAATCCAATTCTGACACCCAAACAACAAGAACTCTCCATGTCAAAACAATAGACACTCCTATTAAAAAGCATCAATAATAGTAATGATTCCTTCCACCCCAATCTTTATTTTTATTTTTTAATTTTTCGTTTTTTTGATCAGCAATAAAAAAATATTTCATTAATCAGTAATGAAAAAGGGTACATCTCACATTCTCTTGGGTAGCCTCGGCTACCCACCCAAGTTCATTTATTTGTTTAAACAAAACCCAGCCATTCTTCTTTTAAATATTGAGGCCAAAAAATTGCCCTTTGTTAACCCCTTGCTTTGTTGGTCCGCTAAGCCTTTTGTCGATCTTCATACCCATTGTGTTGTTAGTTGCATGTCTCTTGCAAACCATTCGAATTTTTTTATTTAATTCTTAAAATTCCATGGAGACTTTTCAGCCTGTGTCAGCCTACTTATAATCACTTTTGAGTCTCCTTCAATTACAAGTTTCTTTGCCCCCATCTCCAAAGTTTGCTGCACCCTAAAAATGGCAGGCTTCATTTCTGCCTTAGTTAAAAATTCCCTTCTCCAATTGTCCCTGAGAACATACTTGAATATTCCATTTTCATCTCTTATCACCCCTCTTATTTTAGAGCGACCTGAGTTACCAAAACTGCTCCCATTGAAGGCCAATTTTTAGAATTCTTTTTTTTAGCTGCCTAGTTTCTTTGCAACTACCCCCCACTTTTTCATTACATAAGGCTCAGTTTGGAAGGAATACAAACACAAATATGTACTGTTCAAATACATACAAAATAGAATTGGGGGAACTTAAACCTCCCTGATGTTTAACATAAATAACCTCCCCTCTCATTTCTCACAGGACTTAAACCTCCCTTAACAGAATAAGGTAGGGTTATATTTAACTGTATTAATGAAAAGACCATGTTTGCCTTGAGAATTCTTTAAATTTATAAAGAAAACCACTGAACCGGAAAACAGGGTGTTTTATTTTTTATTTTGGCAAAACTAGGAAACACGGATTGTATTCTGAATCACTTCACCGTCCATTATGTAATATCACTTCACCGTCCACTTTGTATTCTGAATCTCTCTATACATAGATAGTGGATGTTCATATTAATTGTATGGTATCTGACTATCTGTAGAACCAGTTTGGCAGTACAGGAAGTGCAGACATAATATGCTATGAACGGACCGACAGCCTTGGTGGTACCTAGGGGAACAGAGTTCTGAATTTCCCAGTTTTGTATGCAAAAAGGAGGAACTCTAATCAATTGTTCTGTAACCAGAGGAACCTCAATCTTGTGCATGATACTTGTTCATATGCAAGCAAAGGGGAAATGAGGGGTTTATAAAAAAAAGAAATAACTCTCACATGATATCACATATAAAGCAATTTGGGCAGAAAGCTAATGGAAGGGAAGTTTCTGTCCAATTACGTCACTCTACAGGGGAGGTCTTAGTCCAATTTGAAAATAGAGGGGATATCTTAGTATTCAGGTGAAACATAAAGAGAGGTTCAAGTCTTTTACCCTAAAATACAAGATTTTGTATTCTATATATTTGTATTTGTACTCCTTCCAAATGGAGCCTAAAAAATGAATCCTGAAAACAATTCCAGACATTTTACCCATTGTGCCAGCCTTTCTCATTATATCAAAAAGAAAAAAAAAATAAACTAACGTTTCTTTCTTTCCAAATTGTCTAGATCACTGCCTTTTGGCCACCTAAATGTAGGGGGGAGAGGATAGGATGACACCAAACTTCTTTAATATGAAAATATGGCAAAAGAGGGGAAGGCAAAGATAAAGACTTACAAAGAAAGAAGCACAAGAGAAAACCCTAGAACGGTGAGAAGTCCAAAAACTGACTATCCCCTTTACTAGTGTCAAGAAACACCCCATAAAGAACTAGCAGAAGATCTAACAAAAGCCCAAGCTCTGAGTCCTTCACATTCCTACGAAGATCCAAGTTCCAGCCAAAACCGGATAAAGAAGAAGGGACCATGAACTCAAAAAATGGTCTTCCCCTGATATAGAAGGACGGTAAACTCAGAAATTGGATTTCCCCCAATCTTCTACACCAATCTTTCACTCTCAAAAAAAAAAAAAAAGCACATGCATAACCTAGAATCAGCAATGCCTATCCAACTCAAATATAACAGCAGATTACAATTGCACTAAAGAAGCAGAATGATGAACTGTGGCATGATGTCAGACCAATTCCATCAGGCTCCATGGGAAGAGTGTAAATGATGAATTGATACATATATGAGCTGTAAAGTACAGAATTGCATTAAAAGTAGAAGGAAATAGCAAAAGTCCCATGTACACCAAGGACCTGTACACTAGGGATTTACAAAACTTTAAATTTCATTCACCCTCCTGTTTGTACAAAGAGAAAAAAAGAGCTATATGGTCTCCCCTTGAACAACTTATGGACTCCCAACCATGAAAGAACCAACTTATCTTCAGTCTCGCTTTTGCTTTCAAATATCCGAGAGTTGTTTTTTTTTTCTTTTTTTTTCAGTCCAAATAATCCAGAACACAGCAAATAGACCCCTCACGGTCTCACCGAGGTCTGCAACTTTTTCTGAAAAATTGCAGTGTAGAAATAAATGGCTCACAGCTTCTGTACAAGTATTACATAACCTGCACAAATCACTATTCAGCCCCATTCCCCTTCTTTGTAAGTTATCCTTAATCAGATATCTATTAAGAATAGCTGTCCAAAGACTCCAAACCAGAAAAAACACGAGTCCGGCTTCGGTCAGGGCAAAGCCCATTCGAACAACTTTTTCAGCCTTGCATTGGGAATATCTCTCTATTTATGTGCTTTATTTCGTCGATAGATATTTCCAATGCAAGGTTATAAGAGGCTGTTGGAACTGTGTAAGGACAGGCTTGTCCTGACCAAAGCCAAACTTGATGCTGGGAAATTGTTTCAATTAGAAGTGTGTAGTTTTCAAGTTTTTAACTATACTTAAAGATGGATTATTTTCATTTACATGTACTTGCATTCGGCATGATAAAACAAGGTTCAAATATTGATACACCCAATATGCTGGAAGGGGTGTATCGACACTTCGAATTTTAGGAGAAGCTTCAAAAAAGGCGTATTGACCACCTGCCAATACGGGGCGTATTGTGTCAAAATTTTTAATCTTGTGAGAAATATGAAATTTGTATTAAACAGTTATCATAATGGCATGAACATTGAACCATATCAACCAACAATCCAGCAAAGATACAACTAACAGTGACGCATCCACTAAAAAAACCAACAGATTAGAATAACTGAAAACATAGCATTTACCTTTTATATCCTATATGGTTCTTCATTTATCCATGTTCACCATAATGTCTGGGTAATGACAATCATGTAGGCAGTAAGTTTCACAGAAAAACAACCTTTCCATTATAAATAAAATACACTACAGTAAATCCTTTTTTTCCCAGTCCCTTATTATACATAGATTCTTTTTGATTAACAGAACCTTATACTTTTACAATTTTTTAATATATATAAACGAAACAAAAGTTGTGTTTTATAACTAATAAACTGAAGAATTTATTAAAAACTGAATGAAACCCAACTCACAGTCACAAAAAGGACCGATTTACCTCTGATGTCTCCACACTTGATTCGGTTCCTTCAATTGATTCATCCCACTAGAATTGCAATGCAATAGTATCGCAAGATTAAATTATGAAGAAGAAGGCATTCGCTTTGAGAGAAAGCAAGTGCTTGGCTGGTTCGTCGATCCCATTCTTCGTACACGCTTGAGAGGTTGTAGAATAGACAGCAGTTCTGCAGAGTGAAACGTAGGGTTGAGCCCGTGCTGGAGATTTGCCCGCATTTCTAACCCTTTTTCGATTTTTCTATGGTTCGCTCCAGAAGAATACGCGAATTCAGTTTCCGCAACCACTGACTCTGGGAGGAGGTTA